CCCCCCCCGTACTAAAATGTCATCCAGCACTATGCTGTCTTTTGAGCAATGGATCTGAAAGTATCGTCCAGGATGGTACTCTCCTCACAAACTGGTGCTCTGCTTTTTCCTTTAGAACTTTACTCCCACCCCACATACTAAATTTGCTATTGCCATTAAGAAAAACTTCCTTCCTCTGCTTTCTTTCTTTAATAATAACAATGTATTGAGTTCCTAAATTACTTGGGTGTTTGCTACCAGGTTTTGGAGTCTCTGGGGTAAAGCAGATGGGCAGGAAAGAGCAGCCCAAAGCTGCTTTTTCCATGAGTGGGACCAGACGCTGCTGACCGTCCTGCCCACTCCCAAGCCAGCCTGCATGCACATGCCATGTCCACACGGCACAGCATCAAGTAATTTCCCCCCCACCATCCATGTGCACTCTCACACAAGCACACTGCCGGTGACTGCCTGCTACCTAGATGCCTTCCCATTGGATGGCCATCCCTTTAATCGTGCACATAGTCACATTTGTGACTCTTCACTGGGCAGCAGAGCAGAAGTGTTGAGGGCATGGTGTTTTGATGACACATGCTTCCGAAGCGGCCGGAAGCAGTTCCACAGTTGTGCAAAGTGAAGAAAAGCCAGACTAAAAAGAAGCGGAAATAAACCTCTCTAGCCCACTGCGCATCAGAGCAGAAGTGTGCCCAATGGGATAGAGAGGTTTATTTCCGCTTCTTTTTAGTCTGGCTTTTCTTCACTTCGCACAAATGTGGCACTGCATCTAGCTGCTTTGGAGGCATGTGCTATTGAAACACCATGCCCTAAAAATGGCCTGAAGCCACTTCTTTTGGCCCATCTGTTTGAGCCCTTTGTTAGCATCATGGACAAACGTTAACAGGTGCTCAGCAGCATGAAAGAATAATCTTCTTCAATACTTTCTGCATTATTTTTGCAGTTTGAAGATGCAACAAAAGATACGAAAGCTGGGGAAAGGTCATAAATGGACTAGATATGTAAATTTTCCACTCCAGAGTAAATTTTCCAACCTATTTGCACAGTTCTTATAGCTATGGTGTTGTGGAGGTCACACTTGCACACATTGTTTGCCTCTGCACTATAGGACCCTTGAGGGTTCATCTTCCATCGTCCTTGTTCTTTAAAGGGTGCAGTGCTGGACTAAGGATGTAAAGAATATTCATAATTATTTGTCGCCAGGTTGCAAAAGGAAAAACAAGTATTTAGCTGTCCCTCTGGATTCGTGGCTTTAGGATTCACAGATTCGATTATCACGAATCCCTAGCTGTGTGTGTATGCACTCCTCTCTTTCCATTTCTCCCAGGCTTTTCCCCTTTGAATGAGGGAAAGCCAAGGATAGGGAGAACAGCCGGGAGGGTGCGCACACATAGCTAGGGACTCTGGAATAAATGAGGTCTCTGAGGCCTTGGTAACAAAGGAGGAAGCAACCAGTGCATCCTC